CGTTCTCCCAAGAAATGTAGGCACGTTGCTTCTTCGGTGCCTTCTTGTCTTTCTCATTTTTGAGCTTCGGACACATTGGTTTGATGTGCCCAATTTCACCACACCCATAGCACTTGGGTGGAGTGTTTTTCTTGGCTCCCTTCTTGAGCATCATCTTCTTGAATTTTCGGACAAAGAGTCCGAGGTCGGTGTCGTCGCTGTCATCATCTTCATCATCAATGTTTTTGTGGGTTGACGTTGTTGCGGGTAGAGCAATAGACCTCTTGTTCCTCTCTTCAACCACCTTTGAGATTTGGGTGGTTTCGTAGGTAATAAGATTACCTCGAAGAGCATCATAGGTCGTTGTTTGGAAGTCACGACCTTCTTCGATTGCGTCCACCTTTGAACGCCATTTGGGGGATAGGCTTCGCAGCACCTTTCTCACGAGTTCTCGGTCGGTGTAGGTCTTCCCGAGAAGATTGAGAGGATTGATGATGTTAGAGAACCTCTCAAACATTTCTTCAATCTTCTCGTTTTCCTTCATTGAGAAGAGTTCGTACTCGTGAGTAAGATGGTCGATTTTGGCCTCCCGAACCTGCGCGGTTCCTTCATAGGTGACCTCCAATTTCTCCCACATTTGTTTTGCGGTTTCACACCGCGAGATTTTACGGTAATCATCCGCATTAACACCGCAATAAATCATGTTTATTGCCTTTGCGTTGAGCTCCATCTTTTTGCAATCTTCGTCGGTGAACTCCTCTTCGGTTTTGGGGACGTTGACTTCACCGACTTTCTTCATCGGGACTCCGCAGCCGTTCTTCACAATCAACCACAGCTTGTAGTCATTGGATTGGATAAAGATTCTCATCCTCTCCTTCCAATACGAGTAGTTTGTTCCATCGAACAAAGGTGGCCTCGTGGTTGATTGTCCCTCGGTCACTCCTGCGTTGAACATCCTTGATGCCATTTGATCTTTTAGTTCCTGAAAAAATAACGTATTCAAAGAACAACCTGCTCCGATACAAATTGTTAGACAAATGTGCAACTCTAGAGGGGGGGGGTGAATAGAGTTGTTTTCAAGAATGTGCGTTTTTCACGTGTGTGAAAAAAAATTGCAGGAATAAGTAAGGAGAGTAAGGGAAAGAAGAACACCGGGATTTATACTGGTTCACCACCTCGTGGCTAGTCCAGTCCTCCGAGAGACTCTCTCGAAAGTCCTACTAATCTTCAAGCTTCAACGGGTGCTTGAAAAACCGGTACAACTTGAGAACTTGAGTCACACAAGCCTCACTTTCTTACAACAACAAGACTTGAGTCACACAAGTCTTATGAACAACACTCAAATGAGATTGAGTTTACAACACAAGAATCAAAGCTCACACAATTGAGCAAGTAGTGTTTGAAGAATTAAAGCTCTATGGATGACAACTTCTTTAGCACTCAAAGAAAATATTTCTAACTTTCAAAAATAATGTTTTGATGAGAAAGATGAAGCAAAGGATAACAATGGCTCAATGAGTATTTGGAGTGCAAGAGAGAAGTATGGAGAAGAAGGAGAATGAGGGATTAAATAGGCTGAGTGAAAATAAATCCGTTGGAGCAGGCTGAGAATATGCACCAGATAAAATTAATCGATTAAAGTAAAAGTTTAAATCGATTACGGTACACAGAAGCGAAATAGCCTGAAAAGAAAACTGAATCATAATCGATTAAATGAAGACAAATAATCGATTAGGAGGGTCGGTACGAACTAATCGATTAAATAAGAAGAAATAATCGATTATTGATCAAAAATGAGCAGCCCAGCGAACAGCTCATAAATCGATTAAGGTGAAGCAATAAATCGATTAGGAGGTTCGGTACGCACTAATCGATTTTCTTAGAAGATATAATCGATTAAGAGTTGAAACCTGAGAAATTGCGCTGAATGTAATCGATTATCTTAAATGATATAATCGATTAAAATGAAAATAATGCGCAAACACAAAGGGCCCAAGCCACAGTTTGGCTTCTAACTCGTTGTTTGGGACAACGAGAATACAAGGGACCCTCATCGGATAATATCTCCTATTCAATGAATTTTGAGTAGGGGAGAGAAAAAGAGTCCAAAAATTATTTTGTGTGTCAAACAATACACGAAAAATATTTAAAGTATATTTTTCTTACCATAAAAAATTTGTATATCCTTAAAATGTTTTTAAGAACTTTTGACACACTATTTTGAAACTGACTTGGTAAAATATTTTTAGAGAAAAAAAATAATTTTTCAACTGACTCAAAAAAAATAATAATTTTTTTTATCCCTCAAGATTAATTTGTTTATGCAAAAGTTATTGTCATCCTTACAAGAGTTCCTAGACTCAATAAAAATAAAAAGTCTTCGGAGTCTTCACTTCACTTCAAAAATATGCCTAGGGGTGAGCGTTGAATTATATCCCGTAACTTTCTTGATACGTCTCTTTGCTTTTCTCGATACGAAAAATAAATTTTCGATTATCGTTTGAATTTCATCATCCTGTTTGTCATTTATCAAAACAAAAAAAATATTCCAAATAATAAAGGGGTTTGAACTCATGTCCAACATATATATATATACATAGGAGGATGGGGTTAGGGTTTCTAGAGAGAGAGGGCACCTATTCCCAGGGGTGGCAAACACCATGGCCGCAAGTCTCAAGGTGGGCACTCGATTGGAAACAACCGCAGGACTGGGGAAATCAACAATGGAAGAGGTCGGAAGACTGGCGCAATCAGTGCGAACAAGAGTGGCGACACAAGGGGCAAAGTCGTTGGAATCCAGGGAAAAGAGGCTGGAATCATTTGCAGCGAGGGAACCGGTCAAACTACGCAAGGATGTCGCCGGGGAGAGATAAAGATTGGGCCATAACTCCTCGGTATTTTAAAGACCCATACCAACTGCTGCCCTGCAATTCAGATGAGTTTCGAATTGCAGTTGAGAGTAAGATCTTTCATTTCCAGTTTTCGGATGCCATCTCAATTACAGAGTCCAAAAACGGTAAAGGTCATTCCCTCACTATCTCATCTTGTACTGCTGTATGGTTAATTGAAGTTTTAAATCACCCCCCTCTAGCAAGGGAAGGGTGGAATATTACAAGATATGAATACCAATCAACTACAAAATTCTCATGGGAATCAAACAGCTTTGGGAGTTTTGTCAAAATCTCTTCAGGAACTGAGAAGAACCTCAAGCATCTTTTCATTCCAGTGGGTTTTAACTCAGAGGGAATAAAGCTCTTTGTTAACACTTTAAAAGAAGTGGTAAAACTCCAAGGAAAGAAAGTACTTGGGCTTCCTGAGCACATCCGAGGCTCACATGTGGGTGTAGAGCCTTTCCTTGATTGCTCAAAGGATTTTGAGACAGGAACTAGGCTAGTGGATGATGGTTGGATATGCTCCAGTTACTGCCTAACTACTGGAATGCTAGAAGAAGAGAGTAAGGAATCTGGATATAAACTTCTTGTTGACTCTCTGATGGAAAAAGAACTGGAACACAGGAAACACATTCCTGATGAAGAGCCCCATATTGACCAGGAAAGCTTGAAGATAATAGATCAAGTTATCAGGGATAACCGTAACCTTTTTCGCAGATCAGTTGCAAACAAAAGGTTTCTGGAATCTCTTAATAGGGGTGAAATAATCAGCTTTTCAGGGGAAGCCGTTAGGGTCACAAGAGAATCAATGAAGAGTTTTGAATTCATCGATGCTGCTACATTTCAAGGAGCAAAATATCCGGTTTTCTTAGCTTATGCAAAACAGGATATGCAGGCAGTGCTCAATCATCTATGTGGTGTCCAAGAATGAATGGGGGACATTTTAGCCTTGAATGGTTTGAAGAAATATGTTACAAGGTTTGTTTGGATAGTTCTGAATTATGAGATATCTTGTTGCATCGGGTGATTTATACACTGGCTTCTTGAACTCGTATATGAAGCATCTAGTTTTATCACACAAGTATGGGTCTCTTTCCTTGTAGAGTTGATTCATCTCGCTTGGTCAATAGTTTCATGTGATTGGGTCATTACATCCTTAAGTCATTTTTGAAGATACTACTTTGGTAAGTAGTTCGTATGATTGGGGGCATTATTTTCTGGATATTTGGGGAATATCTTTATTCTAGGGAAATATTGAGGACCTGAAGTATTGGAGTAGCTTCTGCCACCTGAATAGAGCTGCTGATGAAAGGAAAGTACACTGGCGATGACAGCTCATGTTTTCTTTCATGTTTTGAGGGTTCGGGATGTATTTGTGGCTGCTCACTTACTTTGTTTTTTTTTTCCTTAGTTTTTCCTTTTGGAGGACTTTGGGCTTCCTTTTCTTTGGCCAACTTGTTGGGATTCTTGGCCTTCCCCCACCTTTGTACTTTGTTCTTCTCTTAATAATTTTTTTTTAAAAAAAATACATATGCGCTCTACACACACGCACGGAAGAAAAGAAAATAAAAGAACGAGAAGGGGGCCGAAAGAACAGATCGCGGGACGGAACCGAAGCACGCCGCCGCTGTTTGCCGGAGTCCGGAGGAGCTGGACGCCGCGGGATAGCCGCTGCTCTACCGCCGAGTTGCTAAAGTCTTCTTTGAATATTTGATTAGTTTAATTCTCCAATTAATCAAGGTCTGAACTTGCACATCTAACGCTAGATTTCGTATATAGATTTGAAATTCACGTTCGTAGTTTCGTATGATTGATTACGTGGTTTATTTGTTTATAATTGAATTATGATTTATTCATATTTTATGATGATAGTGGAATTGATTGAACGAGAAGGACGAGGTACGTATTTCTACTCTAAGTTGTGTGATTTGCATGATTATAATCTTTAAAAACATTATATGTATCAAATGATTTGGAATAGGATAGAAATCTGCTGAATCTGTACACTCCCAATGCCGGACGGTAGCCCGGTACCGTTCAAACGGTACGTACCCAGCTACCGCCTCAGGCTCGTTGCTGTTGCCGGTACTTATGTGAGACGGTCGGACGGTACCGTAATGGCGGTACCGAGGTACCGTGACGGGTACCGTACCGGCAGCTGCAAATCTTCGTTGTTTGACTGTTTGACCCGATTTAGAACCCGAATTGACTCTGAGCCTTTATGTGTTGCATGACGGTAAATGATAGGTGTTTACACCCGACATTAGGCCGCTATTTGGATTGCATGATGATTTAGTTGGTTAATTCTGTTCTCTTGATTTGTTGTAAATGTGGTGTGATATGCCTTTAACGAATAAAGTAAATTGAGGTTGTTGTTAGCTCGGATCTGTATAATTGAAGTAAGTTAATGAGTTAGGTTACCTAGATGAACTCTAGGATTACTTTGTGAGAATTGAGATTGTGAGTTGACATTAGGTGTAGAGCCTTGTGGACTTGGTCCAGTGGCATTCGGGTAAAGATGTACGTACATGGAATCTGGGATCTGATCCGTAGGATTGGAGGTTCCACCCAACCGGAGCCGTAGGTACCGGGTTGACCAGAATCATGGCCGTAGGTAGTGGTTCTAATGTCATAGAATAGACTTTGAGTCATGGCCGTAGGTAGTGGCTCTAAGTCCTAAGATAAGAATGTGGATAATGAGTAATTGGCCTTAGCCTAGAATAGGTTATGAGCTAGTGTTGGATATGAATTAATGTAATGACCTGAATGTTGACTTGTGCAAATGAAGAATAAAGGTAGGTGATCTAAACTATGTTATTATAATATAGTTGTTTTATCTGATAATTGTTATGTGATATAATTACTGTTGAACTTGTGTGCATGATATTGTATGAAGTTATGAGCTAGTGGGTTCGTCTATGTGCGTAGTCGAAACGTTAGATAGATTCCACTCAGCTTCAATGCTGAGCGTGTAGCCCTTTTTCCTATTTGCTACACGTAGGTAACAGGAACGATGAATAATGAGATGATCTTGGAGGCATCGAGGGCGAATAGATGGATGGATGCTAGCTGGAGGAGTTTATTATTTAATATTTAAGTTTGAATTATTATATTTTTAAGGGCAAGAACCCGAAGTTGTATTTTGATCAAGTACTTAAAGGCTTCCGCAACCGTTTTGATTTACTCTGATGGATATTTAAATATTGTTTTGAATTAAATGTTTTTAAATTGTTTTGGAAAATTATTGTGTTTGAATGCCAATTTAGTAGCAACCCGATCCGCTGGTCCTTGTATTCGGGTCACGCGGGTTGGGGTGTTACATTTTGGTATCAGAGCAATTGGTTTTAAACCCGGTCTTCGGACTCTTTCAAAAATAGGCTTTCAAAAAAAATAAAAAAAAATGTTGCAAGGTACTCAGCAGCAGCATCCGCATCTCTCGCAACTTCTCTGCCTCAGGAAGGTAATTAAAGTTGTTTATTTGTTTACTATGAGTTAGCATTTAATTAGGAAAGTTGATCTATATAAAATGAGCGAAGCTTCGAACAACCAAATCGAGACCCATGACATGGAACAAAACGTGGAGGCTCAGCAGCACCCGGTTATGCCTGCGTTCTTGAGGCAATTTCTGCAGCAAATGGCGAACGCGCCAATGTTCCAACCACCGCCTCCACCGCCTCCTAGGCAAATCACATTGAAAACGCTGAAGGACAATGGTGCTGAAGAGTTCCATGGGGATAGGATCTCTGATCCCCAGATTGCACTAGACTGGATTGAACAGACAGAAAGAGTGTTGAAGAATCTGAGTGTTCCAGACGCGAGACGTCCTGAGCTTGCTTTCCTGCTCCTTCGTAAGGGAGGATACGAGTGGTGGAAGCGCGCAGATGAGAAAGTACCTAAGCCTTGGACATGGGAGCATTTTGATTGGGCATTCAAGAAGGAGTACATACCAGCTCGCTTCAGAGAGGAGAAACGCACGGAGTTTATGGAACTAAAGCAAGGAGACATGACTCTCCCCGAGCTTCGACAAAAGTTCGATCACCTAGCTCAGTTTGCGACTACGCTGGTATCCACGCCGGCAGATCGTATTGAAGAATTTCGTAAGAGGCTACGTCCCGACATTCGGCCATATGTATCCACCCTAACCACTACAGACTTCTCTAAGGCTTACGATCTAATGGCTAAGGCAGAAAAAGACGTTGACGACTATAAGGCTAGTCTGAAGGCTCAAGAGGCAGGACCAAGTATGCGCCCCACTACGAATACGACACCGAGTGCAAAAAGGCCAATAGGGGAGACGAGTGAGATATCTCAAGCGAAGAAAGGCAAGTCAGTGCATACCTAGCCAGTGCCGACTCATTCGGTTGCCTCAAGCAGCAAAACCCGACCTACGAAGATTCCCCCATGCCCTACATGTGGGAGATCGCATCGTGGTGAGTGCTGGCTCACCCAAGGACTATGCTTAGGCTGCGGAGAGGATGGACACTTTCGTAAGAATTGTCCTACAAACCCAGGAGAGCCATTTCCACCAGCGTCGGTGCGTAACCAAACCACTACGCAGCAACCGGCACAGAGCCAACATACGACCGCTGGGCCAAACCAGCCAAGAAATTAGAATCAGCAAGTGGGAAGGGCTCCAGCCCGCACATACGCTATGATAGGACGCGCAGACCCCCAGGATAACGATGCTTACCAAACACTTTGAATCTCACATACCTTTGGCATTGTCATTTGGGCCACTTTAATGAGAAAGGCGTATCTAAAATACGCCAATCTGGCGTACTTGAATCGTTGGACTTTTAGTCTTATGATAAATGTGAGTAGGGCAAAATGACAAAGGCTCCATTTATCGGCCACGGTGAAAGGGCGAGGGACTTATTGGGCCTTATACGCCCCGATATATGTGGCCCAATCACATATACTTCGTAACATTTACTATAGCTCAAGGTAGCTTCTCATACTTCGTAACATTTACTTACGACCGTTGTTGAGTACAAAATATTCACTAATTATTCTCTACCAAATCAGCATTTTTGGGCATTAAAAAGTGCATTTTTACACTTATAAAATATGTTCATAATGCACACTTTTCAGTTTATTTTTGAATATCATTGTTGTGGACCCAAGTTCTCCTTGACAAAGGTTATTAGATATATTCTTGGAGCATAAAGTGCAGGCTCTGAAAATGTGAAAGCAATCCAGGCCCAAGATGACAAAGTCAAAGGTCCAAGCTGCGTAAAAAGGAGAAAAAGAGAGAGTCGTGTGAGATACTGAGATAGAAGAGCCGAAGACTCCCTCTCCTACATTGGGTCGGCCTCTTCAAGCATAGCTGGAGCCGGAGAATCTGCAGCAAGAATTGCAGCGCACAAGGAAGTCCTAACCCTAGACGGAAGAAGCGATTCTCGCACCTATAAATCGAGGCAGGCGCTGCGAAGAACTTCACCACCACCGATCAAGAGTAAAAATCAGAGCTCAATCCAAAGGGTATGAACCCTAGGGGGTTCGGATCTTCCATCCGAAACCCCCTTTTGTTATCTTTTTTTGTGGTTTTCTTTTTTTCTCTCTCTGGTTGAATGTTTTCCCAATTAGTTTCCTTTGGGTTTGATTTTGTTTCTTTTAGTTTGGCTTGCTATTGTCGTAAACACTGTCAAAATTTTGCTTCTGAATTATTGCGAAGTTTTTCAATTGATACAAAGGGTTGATTAATTTTGTCCAAGTATGAAATTGATTTCACTTTGGCACTGTTTGAGTTCAAGTTTTCACTTCCAGTGCATTTCGCAAATGGTTCAAAGTGGTTTGGCAGTGAGCATAGCAAATTTTCTAAGGGAACTTTATTTAAAGTATTTCGTATGGTGTGGAGTCTGTTCTTGGAAAAAAACTACATTTGAAATCAGAATTTTTTCAAGGGAATAATGAAACTTTTGTGCTTAAAGTTAAACATGTCTATGTGTTTGAACTTTTCCAACAAGTTTATTATTCTTAAAAGAATTTAAGCTTTTGCTACTTTTAAATTAATTCAAAGGTGTTTGAGAACTATTTTTCAATTGATTTTACTTAAGTTGGGTCATATTAGGATCGCGACCTAATCCAATTTAAAATGACACTACTACAAAACAGGGCAAAGGCACCGGTTGTTTTGTACCTTTAGCATCGGTTTTGTACTGATGCAAATACGAGCGATGCAATTGGTCAAATTCAATTGCATCGCCTTTAGAAACACCCGATGCCTTTGCTATTTTATTAATTAAAAAAAAGAGTATTAGCATCGGTTGTTTCCAAACAACCGGTGCATTTGCTATTTTCTTAATTAAAAAAGAGAGTATTAGCATCAGTTATTTTTAAACAACCGATGCCTTTGCTATTTTATTTTTTTTAAAAAAAGAGTATTAGCATCGGTTGTTTCCAAACAACCGGTGCCTTTGCTATTTTCTTAATAAAAAAAAGAGTATTAGCATCGGTTATTTCTAAACAACCGATGCCTTTGCTATTTTATTTTTTTAGAAAAAAGAGGTATTGGCATCGGTTGTTTATCTATAACCGATGCCTTTGATCTAATAATTTTTTTTAAAATAATTATCAAAAAGTGCAGCATTTCTACACAATCAAAGAACAGTACAAAAAGTCAATACAACTACACATTCATGCAGCACACAGTAGTATATATAAAAGATACAAGTCTCAAACATTGAAGACATTTCAAATTTGATTGTATACATACACTAAAATGTAAAGACTTGACATACTACACAACTTACAAAAGAGTTGAACACCTGTAAAATACATGAGGAATTTCCCCTTTCCCCATTTTTCCGTTCAATGCTTTCGTCTATGATTCCATTCACACCCGTTAAAAGCGACTCTGTTGGAGCATTCTGTAGACAAGAAATCAAAAGAACTGAAAGCAAAAGTACATTTAGTTTTTTTTGGGACGTAAGGAGTATTTAGTTTTAAAAAAAGAACTGAAAGCAAAAGTATATTAATTAATCACCAAGAGCCCATATGAGTAGCATTACAAACACCAAACACTGGCAGATATGTCAAACTACAAAAGAACAACAAACTCAATCAAAGAATCAGCTTGTTGGTATGGAATATAATGTTATGAACCCTCGTATATAATCATAGTTTAATTTAAATACTACTCCGTAATATGAATAAACGTGGTAAGTACTCATGAAGACAAAATAACTTTACAGGTGTGCCTTTAATTGCATTTTCATGTGCTTGATTGATTACTTTTAGTAAGCAGCTAATTAGATCATTTGCCTCTTATATGCTTTTGAAATAATTACATATTGTCGAGCTCCAGCTAACTAGATCAATAACCTAATGGGGAAATACTTTTTTTTATGAAACACAGATCATAATAATGCCAATAATTGAGGACAAGAGAGCTTGCTGAAGTACTCAAGAACAAAATCCCCTTTACTGGAGACAAGAAAACAGTTGTATCAAATCGATTTTTACTTATCAACTAATTCTACAACAATTGAAGTGGCATTAAGAGCTATGTTGCACGGAATACTAAACAGAGTACCTAAAGAAGAGTGACAACAATTCTGTATTCGGCACATATTGTTCCTTGAGCTTTGATGTCAACTCCACGAGATTAATCCTTAGCCAGTGCCAAGAAAGCCTCATCAAAGCAGGACAATGCATCTGGGAGCTTATTCTGCTAAAGATGGGCAAGTCCAGCCTTGAAGCAAACTGGAGCAGCAGCTACACGAGGAACCTACAAAGAAAGAAGAAGGCCCCATGAAGCTTAGCATATGCTTTCTCCAATATAGAGACCCACAATTCATTTTCATCCTGCTGGTCGTAGTGTGCCCAAAACAAATATTGAGTGAAATAACCAAAACAAAATTAAGTTAATGGAATTAGCTATCGAAAAGAAGAGATAATTAGGGATATAAGAAAAATTGTTCAACTTGCCATGTTATCAGAGCAAAGAGTCCAAATCAGCAATGATTTGAAGGGTACCATCTTCTTTAGCCGTTTCAACATCATGCTGAACAACGGAATCTTTGCCTTCCCCTTGATCTTCATGGTTTGCATTCACGGGCTTCAGTCGTCTTCTGAGTTCCTCAACTACAGGAGTAGTATTTTCACCGGATGGATCACGAAGAAGTACCTGGCCAACCCAATAAAGAGGTAAACAAACTACTGACATTTACGTGTGATTCTATAGAAGGATGCAACTTTTTCTATAAGGAAAGCTTCTCTGTAGCATTAAAAAATTGAATAGAGTAAGCAGTGAATGAGAGTATGGATCCAAGAGCCATAACATTTACAAACCCAGCTAAATTTTCCATGAAAAACAATCCAATAGTGATAACTAGTGTGTATCAAGCACAATACACTCCATATAAGAATACCTCTTCAGAAGTAATAATAGCCTTGATATGCTACCCTTAACAGAAAAAAATGAGTAAACAAATTAGCAAGATCCTAAAGGACTGTTTTATAATCCTGCCAAGTTATCTGATCAGGCATGATGTGAGTTAAAAAAATCACTGACCATCTCTACAAAAATTCCCTAAGAAAGAAAATTGAAGCAACTCTAAAAATAATGCCCTGTAGAATATGGATGAAAAAAAAGAGTATAACAGGGAAATAATAGACCTCTAAATTGAGAACAATGGCATGTTCACGGTCGAGTGTAGTGGAGAATTCTAAACGATATCAAATCAACGGTCTATAGTTTCTGTTTGCAGCATTTTTTATTTTCATGTTTAGTATTGAGTGACGGGTCTTACCACCCAAACTCCGATGACACCTTCTGTATATCCGCTGAAAAGATCCGTCGGCACTCAACTCAAGCTCGTGCAGAATATCACCTGCCCAAAATGAAATCGAACCCCAAAAGAGCTTAATTGGCACAGAAAGGGACACATAAGAAATTTAAAGACATTTGTATATACAGGACTACCATTGAATTAAGAAAATAAATTCTAGGGTTCCAACAATTGCAAATTTAATTTATCGATTTCAAATTGAATTAGGAATGTATAAATGAAAATACCTGGGGATCGAATCACGTAGCTACTCGTGGTAGATAGTCGCAAAAAAGGGTGTGCTCAGCGAGAGGGAAACGATGGCGAAGGGAGAAGAAGGTGACGCCAACGACGACCAACAACGAAGAAGGGAGGTACACGCCCTAGATGACCATGACGAAGATGGAATCGGCACAAACAAGGCGAAGGACGATGAAGACAGTGGCAACGAAGGGAAGAGGTAACGGCGACATAGATCGAGAGAGAGAGAGAGATAGCGTAGATCTATCGAATTGGACATGAAAAATTTCAATACTCCGTATTAGACAAAAGGTCATCAGCATCGGTTGGGGAGAAGAAGTGATGCACAAACTCGCATCGGTTATTACAACGGAAGCCGCGATGCCTTTATTTTTTAAATAAAAAAAATTGAAAAATAAAAAGAGGCAATAGTATCGGTCATTTGAAATAACCGATGTCATTGATCAATTGCATCGGTTGTTTGGAATAACCGATGCTATTGCCTCTTTTTATTTTTCGGTTTTTTTAAAAAAATATCAATAGCATCGGTTTTTTTGCAATAACTGATGCCTTTGACCTTTTGCATCGGTATTTAAATAACTGATGCAATT